TTATTCTAAGGGAACAAGGTCTGATTCCAGTGCACGGAATTGAGTCACATTCTAATTATAGCTTAATGGTAATTGTCTTTGTAAGATAACAACTTAATCACCTAACATAACCACAGCTGATTCTAAATCAGTGATTCCAACATGCAACCTGCTATCCATATGTCTTTGAGTGTTCCATAATTTTTCTGAATCAGAATTCCATTTTTAACTAAAATGTACATTCTGAATGCTTTGATGCAGGACCACTCCAGGAGTAGCGGCAGTGGTAGTGATGGTAATAATTGGTCTAACCATTCTATTAGTCCCTTTCCTCATTTAGTCTGATTTATGATAAAGCATAGACATGGAGAGAGATCCTTCCCAGGCTTGATCTATCTGTACAGGTTTCTAAAGTCCAAATTGGGCTCAAAGTACCTAAATGCTCTGGGAACTCAAATTAATAGGAATAAAGAACAATTGGAACAAGATACATATCCTTCAGATTGAGTCCAAATAGTTTTTCCAGTCATAAAGAAATAAGGAAGATGAACACATACCATAATATTATGAGATACATTTTTAAATAAAAGATAATGTAATCTCATTATTACAAGTATTTTTCTAGATATTCCCTTTCTGTGCCCAAATGTTACCCAAAGCTGATAGGAGGAGACAGATGTTGCAGGAGATTGGTTTGCACTGCCACTCTGAGACTGACAATAAAGTTAAACCTCGAATCAGAGGGTGGAGTCCATGTACAGCTGGCCATGGAGTTTTTGATGGAGCTAGATTTGGATAGAGAGACACAGCAAAGAATAGGGAGGGGCTTAGAAAGATTCGTGAGCCTTTTCGAGCTGAGAAGATGGAGAGGCAGGATCGGCTGATTGTTTCTCCATTGCTCTGTGGATCTATCAGGTTTTGACCCTACTATCTGACTCTCGAGTTTTTATTGATAAAAGAGTAATTAATATAAACACTGCATCTGGCATCCAATGCTTGGCATTATTAGATCACACCAAGGCGCTCCTGAAAAAACACAAAGAGGAGATTCTATTACTTAGGATATAAGACAGGCTTACAAAAAATTCAACCAAGAGAGGTCAATTATGAACTCTTAATGATTTTCAGAAATTCCCGGGAGATATTAACTGGCTACGGCTCACAATTGGGTTAACAATTCAAGAACTAAGTAACTTATTTCAAACCTTAGAAGGTGATAAGGACTTAAACAGTCCAAAAAATTATCAGCTGAGACTGAGAGAATATTGGTGCTGGTAGAAAAGAAGCTACAAGGATGCACACGTGGATCAATTGGATCCAGAGCTTGCTTGTATTCAGGTTATTTTACCTTCTAGGTATTCTCCCATAGGAATTCTTATGCAGAGAAAAGATATTTTAGAATGGGCATTTTGCCACACAGAGTAAATAATTTAAGACCTATGTAGGAAAGGTATAAATATTATCTAAAAATTTATAAATTAACATATATATACATTTAAACTTTTTTGTTGTGATATTAATGGCCATATAAAGTACTAACTTATTCTAGAAATAGGCTTCATCTAGCTTCCTGTATGCGATTTTGGGCTTGAGTCTGAAGCAGGTAACTAGGAATTAAGCTTGTGTACCCGAGGTGTATTTAGTAGATTGTGGTCCATTAACTTCTCTGAGATCTGCTATACATGGCATTTAAAATGTTTAAGTTTTTCTGCACTGAATAAATGACCATTCCTGACAGTGACCTGTGAAGTCTCCAAAAGGATGATGGGGCCTATATAGTCATTTTCACAATATTGATTCTTTCAGTCTGTGAGAATGAGGTATCTCCCCATCAATTTCTTTCTTGAATATTTTTAAGTTTTCATTGTAGAGGTCTTTTGTGGTGATATATTTGTAATCTAAGAAATAAAGCTTGTCTGAAGATCAGAAGACAGAGCTAGCCATAGAGTTAGCCATAGAGGTCAGGCAGTGGTGGCACACACCTTTAATCCTAGCACTCAGGAGGCAGAGATCTGTCTGGATCTCTGTGAGTTCAAAACCACCCTGGACTACACAAGATTAATCCAGTTTAAAAGAGAAATAGAACCAGGCAGTGGTTGTACATACCTTTAATCCTAGTACTTAGGAGACATAACTTTAATCCCAACACTAGGAAAGTTGAAACAGAAAGTGATATGGCTGGGCAGAGAAAGGAATATAAGGCAGGAGGAGACAGAAATTTGGGCCTTTCGGCTGAGGACTCAGACATTCAGTCTGAGGATTTGTGGAGACAGGATCTTCTCTTTTCGGCTGAGGAGCTGGTGAGGTGAGAAGTGACTGTGGCTTGTTTCCTCTGATCTTTCAGCTTTAACCCTGATATCTGGCTCTGGGTTTTTATTATAAGACAATGTAGGATTCCTGCAACAGCCTTTCATGTCTTTAGATAGGTTTATTCCAAGGCATTTTTTTAAAAAAAGGTAATTGTGAATTTATATGTATAGATTGATTACAGAAGTCCCTCATCAATATGAAACTTTGCTCCTTCTGAACCTGTTCCAAAACATTACAGATGTCAATTTTTGTTTCTTTGACGGAGTCTCTCTCAGCCATGTAATTGCTACAACGGCCTGGTGATAATTTCCAGAAACTGTTTCTGTTTTCCTTTTTCTTAGTTTATTTTCTTTAGTAACATCTTCAGAAGGAGGTAACTTTGTGTCCTTGTTAGGGTTACCATTGCTGTGATGAAACACAATGACCAAAAGCAAGTTGGGGAGGAAAGGGTTTATTCTGCTTACATTTCCACATCACAGCTCATCATCAAAGGAAGTCAGGACAGAAACTCAAGCGGGGCAGGAACTTGGAGGCAGGAGCTGATGCAGAGCCCATGGAGGAGTGCTGCTTACTGGCTTGCTCACCATGGCTTGTTTAGCCTATTTTCTTGTAGAACCCAGAACCACCAGCCCAAGGAGGGCACCACCCACAGACCTCCTCCATTAGTCACTAAGAAAATGCCCCACAGGCCCACCTACAGCTATTTATTTATTTATTTATTTATTTATTTATTTATTTATTTTTAATTTTTTAATTCATTTTACATACCAACCACAGATCCCCCTCTCATCCCTCCCCTGCTCCCCCTTTCCCCTCCCGAACCTACCCCTCATCTCCTCCTCCAAAAGGGTAAGTTCTCCCACAGGGGGACAGCTAAGCCTGGTACATTGAGTTGAGGCAGGACCAAGCCCCTCCCCGCTGCATCAAGAAGTGAGCAAAGTGTCCGACCACAAGTAATGGGCTCCAGAAAGCCAGCTCATGCACTGGAGATAGGTCCTGATCACACTGCCAGGGGCCACACAAACAGGGCTATACAAGCCAGCTATACAACTGTCTCGCTCATGCAGAGGGTCAAGTCTGGTCCCGTGCAGATTCCACAGCTGTTGGTCTAAAGTTCGTGAATTCCTAGGAGCTTGGTTCAGTTGTCTCTGTAGATTTCCCCATCATGATCTTGAACCCCCCTTGCTCCTATAATACCTCTTCCCTCTCTTCGACTGGACTCCTGGAGCTTGGCTGTGGATCTCTGCATCTGCTTCCATCAGTTACTGGATGAAGGCTCTATGATGACAGTTAGGGTATTCACCAATCTGCTTACCAGGGTCGGCCAGTTCAGGCACCCTCACCACTATCCTAGTCATCTAATCTGGGGTCATCCTGTGGATTCCTGGGAATTTCCCTAGCACCAGGTTTCTTCCCTACCCCATAATGTCTTCCTCTATCAAGATTTCTCTTTCATTGTTCTTTCACTCCGTCCCTCCCCTCGCTCGACCATCCCATTCCCTCATGTTCTCATCCCCCATTCCTTGATCGATGGCTTCTGTCATATACTCCATTGTTTGGGACATACTGAAGGAAGGGAAGGAGCGGGGAGATTTCAATCTGAGCGGGTGGGGCCCCAGGGACTCCGGAGGTGTCCCACACCCACGACCCTGACAAGAGAGCATCCCTATGTCCCTCTTAGGGGCCTCCTTGTTTCCTAGCTTCTCTGGAGCCTATACAGCTCAGTCTTAAGGAAACATTTTCTTAACTGAGGGTCCCTCCTCTCAGACGACTTTAACACTTGTCAATTTGACATAAAACTATCCAGCACACTGTGCTTAAATGAAAATGTCTTTACTGGGACTTGAGAGATGGCTCAGAGGTTAAGAGTACTTATGCTTACAGAAGACATGGCTTCAGTTCCTAGCACCCACAAAGCGGCTCCCAACCAGTTGCCGCCTTCTGATCTCCTCTGGCATCAGGCATGCATTTAGGACAGACACACATGCAGGCAAAACACTCAAAGGAGAATAAACCTAAAAAAATTTTGTAAAAATGTTAGGATCTTCCTTTTGACACCAGTTTCTGGAACCACACTGTAACAGTTGCTGATATATCTATTTCCATCTATTTCGTGAGTTTACTTCTCAGAAAACTAAGTCTGGATTATTTCTTTAAGAAGAATTTTCTTTAATGAAGAACTTTTTTTTTTCCTGCTTATCATGTAAAAAAGTACAATGTTTGTAATACAGGAGAAAGTTTTCAGGGTTTTTTTTGTGTATATCAATTGTTTAGTAAACAGTGATTTGATAGTCTTAGGCTGTCCATGGTGATATTTATTTATTGGGCATTTTAAAGAAATGTTTATCCATTTTATGTATATGAGTTTTTGGGCCGCAGGAATGTATGTGCACCACGTTTGTGGCCAAGAGCAGGGCGTCAGAGCCTGTATCTAGAACGGGAACTGCAGATGGCTGAGCCGATCGCATGGGTGCTGGAAATGGAACCCAGGTCCTCCGTAAGAACAACTGCTTTTAACCGGTGGGCCATCTCTCCAGGCCCTAGGTCCCGCATTTTAAGGGTATGGGACGGGTGAAAACCGGAGGGAGGAATCCATCCGCTAAGGGGCGGTAACCAGCAATCCCCGCCTGCACACCTCGCCCCGCCTCCCCAACCCCTCCCTCCGTAGGCCCCGCCCTTGGCTACACGTGCGTCCTTTGGCCCGCCCACCCGGCCCTTTCCCCGGTGTCCTTCTGCACGCGGGATTTCCGGTCCTCCTATCGCGAGATCCTCCTAGTGGCGTTGGGCGGCTCGGGCCACTGGAAGCGCGCCGGAGTGCGGCGTGGCCTTGGACTCCGGCCCTTCGCGCAGGAGCTGGTAGGGCTTGGGGTCGGGGTCCGGCTCCTGGCGCTGGCCAGCCGTGGCCGGAGCGGGGAGCGGGCCGGGCGGTGCACCCCGGCCG